GGAGGAGTGGACAGTAAGCACGGAGACCCTGCTGTGGTAGAGACCCCTGTACCTTCATGCTCCCCTTCCTCATTCTGCACACACCACAAGCAGTTAAATGAGAGCATCAAGACGACAGGCCCATGGGAAGGCCCGCTGCGAGCACTGGTGTTGGAGGGTGGCGGGCGGCCCCCCATGCTTACCGTGAACAAGCCTTTGGCTCTTCTCCGGCTGCCAACGAAGAAGCGAGCTCCTTGCACTGACAGGGTGGCCGGGAAGGGCACATCGGCCATTCTGAAAGCAGCAGAGGACAGTTTTAGGGCCACAGGAGAGCAAAGTCACACCCATTTGCTCACAAAGGAAAGGGAGCAGACCCCACATGAGAAGTGCACTAGTGTCCTGGGGCTGCCGTGACAAGGGACCACAAACAGGGTGGTTTAAACAGCAGCAGTTTATTCTGACACAGTCCAGAGGCCAGAAATCTGAAATCAGGGGTTTGGCAGGGCGGCCCTTCTCTGAAGGCTTCAGAGGAGGATCCTTGACTCGTGCAGCTCTGGGTGGCATCAGGTGTCCTCGCTCATGGCTTCACATGGCCTCCTCCCTGCGTCTATGTCTCTATTTCTGTCTTCTTAAAAGAACCAGTTACACCAGAGCAGAGCCCACTTAGCTCTAATACAACCTCGTTGTGACTTGATCTGCAAGGATCCTGTTTTAAAGTAAGGCCACATTCACAGGTACCAGGTGGACATGAATTGCGGGGGACACTTCACCCTAGGATAAAGGTCTTCTGCAGAAGCACTTGGGGAGGAGGTGCATCTCCACCTTGTGATGAGCCTCCTCCAGCCGCCCACTCTCCACTGAACTCCCACACTGTCACCTGGCCTGGGGAGGTGGGACAGATGGCTTCAAGGCAGGAGAGAGGAGCCTCGCTGGTGACCCACGAGGGTGTCAGGAGGAGTTGGTCTTGACATGGGAGTGGAGGCTGAACTCTGGAGATGGGGTGCAGTGTGTACTCTCCTGAGGGAATGGTGCGGCTAGAGCCTCTGGGTCGAAAAACAAGGGTGTCTTCAGGGCTCACCTCTGGGCTGTGATGCCACGTCCCTTGTAAAGCACCTGCTCCTCCCAGCCTCTGACCTCAGTGAGGCCAGCTCCTGAGCTGCGGTCCCAGAAGGTTTCCAGGCTTCTCAGTCCCAGAGTCCTGGCCTCCACCCTCCGTGACAGGGCCCATGAAGCCCGAGGGCCTGTCTTCTTCTCTGACCACAGTCCACTCCAGCCGAGGCCCCAGCCTCCCGTGGCTCAGCCTCCTGTGTCCTCCGTCTCAGAGCTGTCCTTGTTGCCTGATAGCAACTGACTCTGTCAGGAGGCCTTTCTCCCCGCAGCCTTATGAAGGGCCAGGGCTTCGAGTCTGACTGGCCAGCAAGGGGGTGCAAAGCGAGGCCCTGGAGGGCACAGGTGGGAGCTGTGGCCAGGCGTCCTCGGCTGGGCCTCAGGCCATGGGGTCTGCAGTCCTGTTCCCCGTGGCTGCTCCTCCTGGAGAAGCAAGCACAGCGATGGGACCCTGCCTCGGAAAGCCTCGTTTCCCGTCTCCTCCAGGAAGTCCATTCCTAAAACCATCCTGCAGAAAGCTCCTGATCACCATGCCTTAGACCCTCAGTCTTCCTCCTTTCTGCCAATGAGTTGGGTGATGCTCTTCAGGCCTTGGGCACTGCTGTCCCGTCTTCCATTCCTAGGTGCTCACGCAAGCTGTGCGGCGGGTCTTGTTCAAGGTATGGAGGAAAATTAAAAGCTGGCTTATGACACGCAGCATGTGTTTTACAAACAGGCCTACGCGCAGCCTATTACCCACCTGGCCTGGACGCCCCCTTCAGCCCAAATCCCAGGGCATCAGCTGACCCCTCGGGTCTCCCCAGTATCTACTCCAGCTCTCAGACCCTCCTGCCCTGCTGGGACCTAACCTGGACATCTCGCCCCCCGCCCCCCACCCTGACCCCTTAGAGGTTAAAGGGCAGAGATGGTATCCGACCCTGCCTGGGCCCTCTGGGCAGTAACCTGCCCCAGAGGGTGGCTCCCATGTGCCTTCCTCCACCAGGCTGACCTGAGCCATGACCAGCGGGCTGCCTGGGCCGGGGGGGCTTCGCTTACTGGCCAGGCCCACACTGGCCACTCCGAGGGGCTGGTCACAGTGCATAGCACTGCAACCCCAGCGTCCTGGTAAGTGGGGCTAAGGGGGTGGGGCCGGGCTAGAGGAGAGGGGCGGGCCGATGGCCGGCCCCAGGGCGGGGCTCAGTTGTGGGGACGCAGAGGCACCGTGACACGCACGAGGTTGGTTACTATGCAAAACCCAGGAAATAACACGTGTTGGCGAGGATGTGGAGAAGCTGGAACCCCTGTGCCCTGTTGGCGGGAATGTAAAATGGTACAGCCACTGTGGAAAACAGTGTGCCAGTTCCTCAAAATATTAAACTTAGAATTACCACATTAGCCAGCAACTCCACCTGTGGGTCTGTACTCAGAACAACTGAAAGGGGTGTTCACAGGCCCATGTTCATGTCAGCACTATTCACAACAGCCCAAACGTGCAAGTGTCCGCGGACGGAGAAAGAAACTGGTCTGCCGGTACGATAGGATGTTATTCAGCCATAAAGGGAAGTGCTGACCCGTACTGCATCATGGATGGACCTTGAGGACATCGTGCTAAGTGAAATAAGATAGTGAGACAAATGCTGCGTGATTCCACTTACATGAGGTCCCTAAGTAGTCAAGTCCACAGAGACAAAAGTAGAGCAGAGGTTACCAGGGGCTGGGGGCCGGAGGAATGGGCAGTCATCGTTTAATGGGGACCGACTTTCAGATGGGCTGATGAAAGGTGCTGGAGGTGGTTGGTGTTCAAGGCCGCACAATTTTGTGAATGGGCTTAATGCCACTGAGCTGTGCACGTGGAAATGGTCCAGATGGTAGATATGTTCTGTGTATTTTACCACAATTAAAAGAAACAGAAAAACAAACGCAGAGCCTACCAAGATCGTTACCTCAAACTCTGTGCCTTCCTATGCAACAAGCGTTAGGTACAAACGACGAACACCTGATTGTACTTATTTGCAATTTAGATTCCATTAAGTCCTAGCCTAGTAGCCTAACCTAATTAAACGTAAATAATTTAGTGATTGAACCTGAAAGGTAACGCAGATTGAAAACAGTTACAGAGCACGTGTGCATGTGTGTATACATATATCTTTGTCCCTGCAAAACTGTAAGCCAAATTCCATGTAACCATTTTTCTAAAGAAGTTAAAAGCCTCCCATTGTCTTTATATTCAATTAATGTCTAATTTAGCGAAATTCGCTTGTCCCAGCTTGGGTCACATTGCCCCCTGGCCCTTCTGGGAGCAGAGGGGATGACTCAGCTCTTTCGGTTTTTGTGGTGGGAGTGAGGTCGCCACTTGGACATACCTTCCACCAAACTTTCCCATGGGGACTTGTGGAGAGTGGGTGTGGTGCTTAGAAGACAGGAAGTGACAAAGTGAGGACAGACCCTTCCAGGGCTGGCCTGGAACATCAGAGTGCTCACCAGGGCAGGGTAGGGAGCTGGGGAAGGTTCTGATGCTACAGCCAGAGAATCACGGGTCAGGCAATCTCTTCCCTTCCCAGGTTCACATCAAGGGCACAGGCCCGGGCAGGACTGAGCCTTCCTGGGTGTAGCCATGAGTGCTTCCCTTGTCCCACCCAGAGGAGTTAGGCCACTGCCCTTGTGATTTCTAGGATAAGTCATTCATTCCTAGAAATATTCAAGTCTGAAGGAGACTGACATCTGCTTAAAACCATGTGTCCCCAATGAGCAACAAAGAAAGGAAAGAGAGTCAGATGATCAAGGTGAATTTATTGGAGAACCCAATGAGGTACAACAAGTTGAATTCTAGGTCAGAAGCAGAGAAACCAGGAGGGAAGGACATGTGACCAGTCAGTTGGGGGTACCTCCTGGGAGGCAGGAGGGAGAGGTCACCTCAGCGCAGTGGACACATGAGGGACCCCATCATCAGGTGGTAACAGCCACCAAACCCAGGTCAGGACCAGACTGAGGGAGTTGTGAGGGGCATAGCCGTGGGGTGGGACCTCAGCTCAGCTAGCCCTGGAGAGACATGTCCCGTCAGCAGCTGGACTTCTAGCCTGACTAGAGGCTGCAGCAGGCCGGGCGGGAGCACGTGGGGCGGCAGAGCAGGGACATGCAGGAAGCCGGGCGGCAGCAGCTGGACCGGCAGGATGAAGCGGGGGTATAGCGGGAGGGGACAGGCACGCAGCAGGCGGTCCTGCACACGGGGCGGCAGAGGAGGGACATGCAGGAGGAGGGTCTGCAGCAGGAGGAGGGGCGGGGGCTGAGCTGGCAGCACGAGGGGGCTGGGCAGGGGGCGACCCCAGAGCAGTTGGGCACACGGCACACGGGCTTGCAGCAGACGGGCACAGAGCAGGCCTGCTGGCAGGGGGAGGACGTGCAGCAGGAGGACTCGCAGCTAGACTGCTGGCAGCATGAAGAGGAAGCCCCAGAGCAGACGGGCATGCAGCAGACAGGCTTGCAGCAGACGGGCTTGCAGCACACAGGCTTGTAGCAGACAGGCACGGAGCAGACAGGCACAGAGCAGTCCTGCTGGCAGGGGGAGGAGGTGCAGCAGGAGGGCTCACAGCTAGACTGCTGGCAGCATGAAGAGGCAGCCCCAGAGCAGACAGGCATGCAGCAGACGGGCTTGCAGCAGACGGGCTTGCAGCAGATGGGCTTGCAGCACGCAGGCTTGTAGCAGACAGGCACGGAGCAGGCCTGCTGGCAGGAGGAGGACATGCAGCAGGAGGGATCACAGCTAGACTGCTGGCAACACAAGGAAGGAGTCTCTGAGCAGATGGGCACGCAGGAGGTGGGCTTATAGCAGATGGACTTATAGCAGACAGACTTGCAGCAGACAGGCACACAGCAGTCCTGCTGGCAGGGGTAGGGGGTGCAGCAAGCCAACTCGCAGCTAGACTGCTGGCAGCATGAGGGTGTGCAGGAGCTGCTGCAGACTGACTGGCAGGAGCTGGGCTCACAGCTCACTGGGGTATAGATGAGGGTCAGGCAGGGGGTAGGGGCACAGCCACTGGACAGACAGCTGCTGGAGATGCAGCAGGGGGGCTCGCAGTAGCTCTCTGGGCAGTCGTCCACCTGCCAGGAGTTGTCGGAACAAGCACTGGAGCAGACAGACATGGTGGACGCAGCCGTGCGGGGTAGTGAGCTGGTTAGGGTGTGAGTGAGTGAGTGTGTGAGTGAGTGA